AACATCTGATGGTGTAATGGCTGAACATAAAATTCACATGATTTGCATGTACCACGACATGTCGCACACACTTACTTTTGGAGGGGTATATTTTTTCTTTGTAATTTTCATTGGACTTATATCATGTAGCAATTATGATAAGACCTTTTAAACAAGTGTTTCTTTTGTTTCTTATTTCTTGCTTCTTTTTTAAAAAGTTGCATTACATAATGCACTCATTTAAGAAACAACACAAATCACAGAGACTTGTTGCAAGGCAGAAGAAAAAAATGCAAAACGTTTTGAAGTGATCCTTAAGTAGCCAAACATCGACCAATAATAAGATAAATGTCCGTTCATATTAAGCAACAATGTTTTAATGCGGGTTTTACCCAAAATAGGGCTATTAAAATAATTGTAATACGTTCCAGTGAATTCAGAAATTTACACGTTTTATTGATTTTGTGTCGGTGGGGGTGCTCATAATGTGTTTCTTGGTTTTATTACACTATGTAACAAAATTGAGCCAGATTTTTGAGTTATGACGTGATAATTTTATGGCTGGTATGTTTAAAATTCATGAATGAAATGCTTTATAACTTTGTAGCTGTTGCAGATTTTTATATCCTTCACCACACTGTGGTACATGGTATTATGCCTTTGTGCATATGATTGTAACAGGCAAAAAGGAAACGAGATAGACATATGGTTCCTTTTGAGAATATGTATAGAATCACTTTTTGAGTCGATTTAAGCATGTCCGTTCGTCTGTCCATGTATCCTTGCAAACAAAGTACAGGTCGCATTTATGATCTGATTTGGATGAAATTGGACACAGCTCACTTATTTGGCCCAAGGACGAACCCTATTGAAATTGGAAAAAAACCGGTTCAGATTTAGATATAGCTCCCACATTTATATTTCCGTCCGATTTAATGCAAATTGTGTACCAATGTCCCTATATATCTCTTCGTCCGATTTAGAGTAAATGGTCCACCACAGTCTATATATTTCTTTCGATTGGCACGAAATTTGGTATAGCGTACTGAACTATGTAAAGAATGATGTGTGTTGAGTTTCATGAAAATCGGTTTAAATTTAGATATAGCTCCCATATATATTTCCGTCCGATTTAATGTAAATTGTGCACCAAAGCCCATATATTCCTTTCGATTTGCACGAAATTTGGCATAGGGTACATATTTGAGTCTAGAGTAATATGTGCTAAGATTCGTGAAAATCTTTGACCTCAATATATTCTACAAAAATGTTGATCATAGAATATTAGATCGGTAGAGTCCTCAAAGGCAAGCTGTTGATATCCGTATGTTCTCCTTTCTATTTTTAGTCGATATTGGTTAAGAAAACATACGAACAACGAGCTCTTGTTTTTGACTTATTTGGAGGTCAAAATATCTCTCCTTGCAATTATTTTTCTGATCAAGAAATTGAAACATATCATATAATTAATTTAGTCCAATTAATGTCAAAAACTCCACCATAGATATACTGACAGGTACTTAAAATGAAAATATAAGAAACATACCAAAAAATGGACATATACCGAAATTTCTACAATCCGATTATGTAAACAATAATTTTTAATAGAAAATTATACCCTCACCCTTATGGCTAATTAGTGTGTATACACTTTCACACGGTGAAAATGTGCCTCATCGAAATACTTTGACCTCAATGTTTCTTGGGACCAAAAATCTTATTATGTCTTCCAAACTTAGTTTAAGTCCGAATTTGGGGAATATCGGTCCATGCCTTCTGGTACCTCCCACACAGGGGCTACGGCTAAGCCTAAATGCAGGCTATAGTTCATTATCGAACCGTACGTTCTAGTTTTTTATCTCGATATCCTTCGCAGGTGAAATGATTACAACAAAGTGTTAGAACCAAACCCAAAACGCGGAAAAATCAGATAATTATATACGACCAAAACCCCCAAAATACTGAAAATTAGGAGGTACCGTTAAAAAGTGGGCCTATATTTATAATTGTTTGTGACGACATTTAGCACCCAATAAGAACCCAATGTACCAAATTTCAGCGAATTCGGTTGAAAAACGCACTCAAGAACCCCAAAATACCGAAAATTTGGGGGTACCCTTTATGGGAACTATGCCTAAACTTGGACCGATATATCCCATCATCGAACTTGACCTACCTGACCTGCAGACAAAAGACAACCCTATGCAAAATTTCAGCACCCTATCTAAATTCCTTCGGAAGATAGCGTGATTACAACAGACGGACAGATTTCAGTGATTTCGGTTGAAAAACGCGCTCAAGGTCCTCCAAATTCCGAAATTTGGGGGTACCTTTATATGGGGGCTACCAGAAAAAAATGGGCTTATATTTATAATTTTTAGTGGAGATATTTGGTACTCAATATACCAAATTTCAGCGAATTCGGTTGAAAAATGCGCTAAAGAACCCCAAAATACCGAAAATTGGGGTACGCTTATATGGGGGGCTACCAGAAAAAATGGACCTATATTAATAATTTTTTGTGGAGAGATTTGGAACCTATTTAGAACTCAAAGTACTAAATTACAGCCAATTCGGTGGAAAAATACGACCAAAACCCCTAAAATACTGAAAATTAGGAGGTACCGTTATATGGGGGCTACCAGAAAAAGTAGGCCTATATTTATAATTTTTTGTGGCGAATAAGAACCCAATGTACCAAACTTCAGCGAATTCGGTTGAAAAACGCGCTCAAGAATGAATATTTCGGTGAGTTACAAACGAAATGACAAAATTAATATACCCTCCATACTATGGGGAAGGGTATAAAAAGACACACACAGGCTCGAGATAGAAGGGGGATATGTTTTACAAAATATTCACCAAATTGTAGTCTCCAATAGTTGGTAAAAAAGTCGGTTATTATATGACCATAACGCTTCGAATTTGCCGACGATAGTCGTTCCATAGTCCTTTTCGAAGATGTAAGGTCCAATTACACATTCGGACCAAAGAGCTACCCAAGCAGTAACCTTTTGTAGATATAATGGCCTCAGCCTTATGTCTGATGAGGGTATATCGAGCGAAACGAAACAAATATTGTAAGGCCTGTGTATCAGGCCTAATCGCTCCAGTCTGTTCAAATTTCTTTAGAATGTTGCCAATTGCTCGCGTGGATAAGCCTGTATATAATCGTCAATGGATTTCATCTCCATATAGAATTTTCCTCTCCCTAAAACATGAGCTCGATTTTCTTGTTCTATGTTATTAATAAAAGTTCCTACTGAAAATTTAAGAGCACTTGGTTAATTCGTTCGGCCAATATCCATGCTGCCATGTTTCTGTAGTACAAATTTCCACAAAACCTATTGACTATTTTAAAAGCATACATATTAATCAATTATCTAATTTATAAACAAATATTATATTATCGTTTGCAACCCATTTTCCCACATTCATATCTGAGTCACCGATTGGCCATGCGTTGGGAATTCCCATAATAATTGGGTCGCTATGTTTGGTCAAATGCTCATTACAAATGCCAATATGCTCCAATCATATACATACCTAGTTGTTATTTTAGTTCTCTACAAAATAATTGATGGCGATAACAAAAAAAAAAAAAAAAAAAAACAAAACACACACAAAAACCAGGTGCGGTCACTAAAACGATAAGACAATAAACAAAAAACAATCACACAGCAAATATTTATTGATTTAATAAAAATAGAATTTTGAGTGTAAACAAAGCCAATGCTACGAAATCTAAACAATGGGAACTTTAAATTGGACACAGAACAATATTCTCAACATATTTGCTTATTAGAGATATATATTTATTTATTCTATGTCTATGCCAAAAAAGGTATCACATACCATGAAAAATATATGTAGGTGAAAAACTTTGTTGTGCCATTTACATTAAACTGATCAAACATATATATGGGAGCTATATCTAAGTCTGAACCGATTTTCATGAAATTTAACACACATCATTCTAGAGATCATTCAGAACGTTATGCCAAATGTCGTAGAAATCCAACGATATATTGGGAATTTAGTGCGGAATTTACATAAAATCGGAAGAAAATATATATGAAAGCTATATCTAAATATGAACCGATTTGCACGCAACTTAACACATATCATTCTACACTCAATATTCTCAACATATTTACTTATTAGAGATCTATATTTATTTATTCTATGTCTATGCCAAAAAAGGTAACACATACCATGAAAAAATATATGTAGGTGAAAAACTTTGTTGTGCCATTTACATTAAACCGATCAAACATATATACTGGAGCTATATCTAAATCTGAACCGATTTTCATGAAACTTAACACACATCATTCTAGAGATCATTCAGTACACCATGCCAAATTTCATGGAAATCCCACGATATATGGGGAATTTTGTGCAGAATTTACATAAAATCGGAAGAAAATATATATGGAAGCTATATCTAAATATGAACCGATTTTTACGATACTTAACACATATCATTCTACAATCAATTTAGTAGGCTATGCCAAATTTCGCGCAAATCGATATATATAAGGACTTTGGTACACCATTTGCTGTGAATAGGTCGAACATATATGGGAGCTATATCTTAATCTGAACCGATTTTTCCCAATTTCAATAGGGTTTGTCCTTGGGCCAAATAGAAGACTGTACCAAATTTCATTCAATTCGGACAGACAAACGGACGGACACACATAAATCGACTTAGAAAGTTATTCTATGCATATTCTCAAAAGGAACCATGTGTCTATCTCGTTTCCTTTTGCCTGTTACAAACATATGCACAAAGACATAATACCCTGTACCACAGTTTGGTGGAGGTTATAAAAACAGGGAGGCAGTAGAATGTGAATATTATAAAGGCAATTTTCTTTCCCACCCAATTCTTAAAAAAATAACCAAAATAACACAGCACAAAATGCTCGAATCTATTTGAACAAACCTTCAATATAAAATACGAACAATAATATTATTCTCTATTATGTCATAATTTATTCCAAGTATTTTATTAATTATTTCCTTTTCCTCAGACCCAACTGCATACCCGTTGTCGAACGTAGTACAATTCCCATTTCGGGAGCAAATTCTTTTCCCATCGGCAACAGTTCATATGAACGTATTATATGTAGCAGAGTTACTTTCATTTCATACATGGCAAATTTTTGACCAATACAATTACGTGGTCCAGCACTGAATGGTATAAATTGGAAATGATTTTTTAAATTGGAATTTTCATGACGTTCGGGTATGAAATCAAGCGCATTATCAAATACATTATAATCGTAACACATGCCAAAGACAGCAATAATGAATTCCGTACCGGCAGGTATGATGCCATTGCCCAGTGTTGAATGTTCTACATGCAGATAGGAAATTTTATATTAGGTGTTTTGGATACTTTTTCACTGGAGTTACTTACTGTACTTAAAATCTTCTTTAATTTTGCGAGCAATTAACGGAACAGGTGGAAATTTACGCAGAGATTCCTTAAGTACACATTCCATATATTTCAATTCATTTAGACTCATCATTGTTAGGGGTTTTGAAAAATCCTCACCATAAACGTTATTTATTTCGGCCAGCAGTTTATCCTGCACCTGGGGATGACGTGCCAAAATATAGAGGGTACATGCCAGAGATGTGGCCGTAGTATCATGACCCTCAAACATAAACGTATCCACTTCTTCACGAATGTCGTCATTGGTCAGAGGTTCGCCATCGATTGTTGACTGCAGTAATACATCCAATAGAGCCATTCTTTTTTTGCTGCCAATATCTTCGCTATTTTCTTCGGCATTGGAACTTTGCCCATTCAGTGAGGCTTCCAAAGCAGCTCTCCTTTTCTTGATGACGTTATGCGTAAAATCATGCATAATCTTTAAATTCTTTACGGAACGTAATTTTTTGTAGGGATGTAGTATTGAAAAAATCAGATCGCTGTGCAAGTGGATGCGTAGAAAGCGCCATGCCACCGTTTTTGTCATTCTGTAAAAAAAATAGCGAATAAATGTTTCGAATAGAACATATTCAAAAATATAATCCTCGGAAAGAAGCAAACTAGCCGTATAAAACTTTTCAACTGAAAATTGGATATGGTTGATTATCTCGACAGATTTTATAAAGAAAACATGATCCGAATAAATGCTTCCCTATAGCAAATTTTATTAAGATACAAAATGCGGATAGATGATTCCTCTAGAAAACGTCAATCATGGTTTAAAATGTTCCTATTCGGACTACATTTTATAGAAAAGCAATATTTCGATAATGTTTTCCTATAGAAAACTTTTCCGCATACACAGTTTCCTACATAAAATTTGAATCTATAACTTTGTCCGCGGAAAACTTTTATCGATTAAACGTTTACATATAATTAGTATTGAAAGCCATGTCTGGATAATGACCTCTTATAGGAAAGTCATATTCGGATACCAGTTTTCCACAGATAGCCTTTTCCGAATAAAATTTTCCCATAGAAAACCACATGCGGATAGATTTTTTCTATAGAAAACCATATCCAGATATAGTTTATATATAGGAAACCTTGAAAAAACCATATACGGATTAAGTTTAATTATTTAGATCCTTATCAGCATAAAGTTTTCTCATAAAGAACATTATCCGTATAAAGGTATTCTATAGAAAATATCATATTTAGACAATGTTTTCCTAAAGAAAGCCGTATTTGTATGAAGTTTTCCAATAAAACCTGCATCCATATAATTTTTCCCCTAAAAAAAATACCCGGATAAAGTTTTCCTATGGAAAACCATTTCCAGATAAAGTTTTCCTATGGCAAACCATTTCCAGATAAAGCTTTCCTATAGAAAACCATATCCGGATAAAGCTTTCCTATAGAAAAACCATATCCGGATAAAGTTTTCCTATAGAAAACCATATCCGGATAAAATTTTCCTATAGAAAAACATATCCGCATAAAGTTTTCCTATAGAATACCATATCCGCATAAAGTTTTCCTATAGAAAACCATATCCGGATAAAGTTGTCCTATAGAAAAACCATATCCGGATAAAGTTATCCTATAGAAAACCATATCCGGATAAAGTTTTCCTATAGAAAAACATATCCGCATAAAGTTTTCCTATAGAAAACCATATCCGCATAAAGTTTACCTATAAAATACCATATCCGCATAAAGTTTTCCTATAGAAAACCATATCCGAATAAAGTTTTCCTATAGAAAACCATATCCGGATAAAGTTTTCCTATAGAAAACCATATCCGGTAATGTTTTCCTATAGAAAACCATATACGGATAACACCCCGTAGGAAAAGGTTTGCTATAGAAAACCATATCAGGACAAAGTTTTCCTATAGAAAACCAACCAGTTTTTTTTGTAGAAAACCAATTTTTTTGTAGAGAAACATGATGTGGATATTAATATTCGCTTACTCACTCCAAAACGGCATTTGTATATTGTCTTGCACCAGCCTCATTCGTCTGAGCATTCACCTTCGTACCCATTGCCGTCTCGGCAATAATATCCAATGTATGGGCACATACAAACGGATAAACATCAAATGCCGAATTACCATCGGCCTTTGCGGCCAAACAATTTACCAACGTTTTCGAATGCCGATTGAAAATTTCTATAAATTCTTCCAAAATTTTAAAATGAAATGCTGGTGTAATAATACGACGTCGGCTATGCCATTTACGACCATCACTGGTGAGTAGACCATTACCCAACCATTCATGGAGTACCCCATACAATTGATGTTTTGTGATGTGAGTTGAACTGGTTAAAATTTGTTCATTTAATTCGGCATCGGCACTGACTATAATCAAACGATTGAGAGCCCAGACTTTAATTACCATGCCATATTTCAGGCCCAATTCCATAGACTTTATAAAAATATCTAAAAAAAAAACAAAAAAAAAGTAAATAATTTCCTAAAAGTATAGTGTCCACTTACTTTGTGGCGTTAGATCATAGGATAGATGTAAGGCCCCCAATAGGGGTATATTGATGGGTCCATTTATGTTTTTAACTGCATCACGTCTTGGTTTCTGCTTTAAGTGTATCCAGAGTGTAATTACGAATAGCGTTAAAGCAACAACAGTAAAGAATGTAGTGGACATTGTTAAATACAGACTATATCGTGAATGCAGTAGATTTTATATGGGTATGGGTATTCAAATTAGGAATGTTACCGCTTTCTAGCTTTTACGCATATACGAAATAATCTAATCTTTGTCTTTGAAAAAAATTACATTTTGTGTTTAGAGTAGGGCAAGACAAAGCAGTATGTTTGTGAAGTTGACTTGTATTTGTTTCCTCAGCAAGAGTAGACCTAAAATCAAATTTTCTTTAACTACACTGTCAATGTTACGATGTTTAGTTACAACATTTGGGAGTTACCGTTATATGGGGACTTGATCATTTTTACATTATGGGGTTTTAGGTAAATATTTCGAGATTCATGTTTAATATAATTAAAACCAGTAAGGAAAGAGTAAAGTCGGAAGGGGCCGACTTTATCTAAATGTGAATCGGACTAGATCTATCCATAAACATGTCATTCGTTTGGGACAAAAGTATGAAAATCGACTTCAAACAAATATCAATTAGTCATCCGTTGGGCTATGTCTGTACTTCTAGAAAACGTAACTACGTTATTCTAGGCTCAATTTTGTACGTTGTGCAAAATTTGATGTCAATCTGACAAACATGAGGAGTTTGATGTACAAATTACTTAAAATCGGACGAAAATATATATGGAAGCTATACCCAAATATGAAACGATTTCAACGAAACTTGTCACAAGTTAAGTTATACTAATTTCGGTACGTTTAGTTCCTATCAGCCATATATTGGTTTCTTGGTGGGTCAATTACAATTACCGATTTACGAAACTTGGCACACAAAATTCTGGACCAAATTCAGTACGTTATGCAACATAAGAACTTTGGCACATTATTTAAATTAAATCGGACGAAAAAATATATATCTAGATCCGAACCGATTTTCATGAAACTGACAGACATCGCTCTAGGCGCAATTCAGTACGTTATGCCAAATTTCGTACAAATCGAAAGATATGAAGGGACTTTTGTGCACTATTCACATTACATCGGACGAAAATATATATGGGAGCTATATCTAAATTTGAACCGATTTTTACGAAACTGAACACACTTCATTTTAGACTTAATTCCGTACGCTGTGCCCAATTACGTGCAAATCGAAAGATATGTAGGGTCTTTGGTGGACCTTTTACATTAAATCGGACGAAACTATATATGGGAGCTATATCTAAATCTGAACCGATTTTCTCGAAACTTGGCACACTTCATTCTAGACCTAATTCAGCTTGCCAAATTTCATGCAAATCGAAAGATATAGAGACTTTGGAGCACCTTTTACCAAAAATCGGACAAAAAAATATATATGGGAGCTATATCTAAATCTGAACCGATTTCACCCAAATCGGATTATAAATGCGATCTGTACTTTGTTTACAATTTAACATCAACAGACAGACAGACGGACGGACATGCATAAATCGACTTAGAAAGTGATTCCATACATATTCTCAAAAGGAACCATGTGTCTATCTCGTTTATTTTTTTTCTGTTACAAACATATGCACAAAGACATAATACCCTGTACCACAGTGTGGTGAAGGGTATAATTAAAATTGTGGTAGTAGAATGGTTGCCCAAATTTTAATCAATAGAATATACTGTTGCGTATAAAACATTAAATGTTCGATTTGTTTGCTCTCGAAAATTATGTTGATAACAATATTAATCGTTTTGGCCCCCTAGGTAGTTTCTTATTATAGATAAGTATATGAGATTATTCCCGGTGAAATGTAAACTTTTTTATGATAAGAAATACCAGATTAATTTGTCAACATTAGTCTATAAAAGGTTTTTTAAGTGACTTACTAAAAATATTTCAGTGCTGGTTAAGAGTACATTGGAAATATATTCAGATTAAAAAATTGGGAACTAATAAAATATAATTCATAACTGAGTATTTAGAAAACGTTTTTGTAGATATTTCTCTCCGTACGGTCCGAACATCTGTGCGTCGTTCCAAAGTGTTTGTGATAGGGAATGTATAAATATTTTTTTATAAACACACAGTGTTGTCGGTCACTGATAAAGACCAACAAAACAAAGGTATATTTTCTAAACAAAGGCAATTAAATATGATTAAAAAATTGTAGTCAGGAAAGCAGGAGGGTATTGTAGAGAGAAAGTCAATCTCATTAAATCCACGGATCAAGCTTTTTCGATCAATTTCTCAAATGAAAATATTACTTTAATATTATTCCCTTCATTATGTTTCACTGAATGTACTCTAATTTGCTATTGTAAATGGGTCCACGTTTTGTTATAGATCCAATACAAAATTTTTAATTATAAGGTTTATCCGTATTTTCCAACGGATAGGTCTTTAATTTGACAGAATTTTGTCGATCTAGGTCCTTCATTTGAAATAATACCAATGCCTAATAACGTGGAATTTGTATATCTGTTTGCACCACCTCGAAGTATCCACCGGACACCACATAAATTATATATTCTTTATTCTTGAAATTTTGCACATATATTTTTATTACACCTAGGATGTTTGGCATTAACAAATATATCGGCAGAAGTTTCGATATAGCCTTCATATAACGTTACCCAAAAATATTTCGTGTTTTTATACATTATTGACACTTTTTTCAAACGAAGAGGCTACTTTTAATATAGTTTTTTTTTTGGAACCTTAATCCCGTTTTTTTACCCTTTTAGCTTCAATACGATATTTTGGATTCTCATTGGGTAGAAAATCTCTTACCAACTCATATCAATATTGGTTTACCTTTCGGGGTAGACCGGTACACTCCATAATTAACTGTAATTTCGCATTACGGGTTTTTATACCCTTCACCACACTGTGGTACAGGGTATTATGTCTTTGTGCATATGTTTGTAACAGGCAAAAGGAAACGAGATAGACCCATGGTTCCTTTTGAGAATATGCATAGAATCACTTTTTAAGTCGATTTATGCATGTCCGTCCGTCCGTCTGTCTGTCTATGTATTTTTGTGAGCAACGTACAGGTCGCATTTATGATCCGAATTGGATGAAATTCGGCACAGCTCATTTGTTTGGCCCAAGGACGAACCCTATTGAAATTGGGAAAAATCGGTTCAGATTTAGATATAGCTCCCATATATATATTTAACCGATTTAATGTAAACAGTCCCTATATATCTTTCGATTTGCACGAAATTTGGTACAGCCTAATCATTTAGGTCTAGAATTATGTCTGCCAAGTTTCGTCAAAATCGGTCCGGATTTAGATATAGCTTCCATATATAGTTTCCTCCGATTTCATGTAAATGGTGCACCAAAGTCCCTATATATCTTTCGATTTGCACGAAATTTGGCATAACGTACTGAATTAAGCCTAGAGAGATGTCTGCCAAGTTTCGAGAAAATCTGTCCAGATTTCTATATAGCTCCCATATATAGTTTCGTCCGATTTTGGATTTATAAGTAAATTTGGATTTATAAGTAAATAAAGAACTCAAAATGTGGCCGAATGCAAAAACCATACTGAAATAAGTGTAATCTATATTTCGATATTTCGCTTTAAATTTATTTACATTATTTTGTCCCATCGTAAGAAGCAACTCTATACCTGACCAAAATTTAGTATAGGTTGCAGAAACATTTTAATTTCATGTTAATGGTTCTTCAATAATGCGACGTCTGTTAGGATTCATCTGTTTAATATACCCACAGTGGTGAAGGGTATCATATAGTCGGCCCCGTCCGACTTTACTACTTTCCTTACAGGTTTATATTAAAATAGTTATCTGATTTGTTCCGTGTGTTGCGGTTGGGTAGTCGTTGCGGGGAATAGTCAATTTTTACCCTACAAAGACTATTTAGCCATCTGTTGTAAACATACTGCCTTCTAAAGGTATTGTGATAAAAGAAACCTCAGACATGACGATAATGAAATATATCGGCAGACATTTAGGCATCTCCTCAATATAGTGATACCTCCTGAAGGAAAGAATTGAGATAAACAATTAAAATATTGGGTTCAATATTGGCATATACAGGTCATTAATTAGGCATAGCCCTCATATAATGATATCCCCAAATATTCACCATTTTCCTACGCTATGTAATCAATATTAGTCCCCCTTTAGGCATAGCCTCATATAACTTTGTAATCTAAATTACAGTAGTTTGAGGATTTTATATTCTACCATGCGTTATCAGTATCAGTCCACTTTTTGGATCTTGCAGATTTTAGGAAAAATCCACATTAAAAATTGCTGAAGTTTGTATTTGGTGTACATAATGGTTTACATAAATTGGTTTGTAGAATTATCGGTATATACCCACTTTTTGGTACGTTCCCTATATTTTCATTACATGTATCTGTCAGTATAACTATGGTGGAGGGTATCCAAAGTTCAGCCCGGCCGAACTTAACGCTTTTTCACTTGTTTTCTCCTAGCCCTGTTTTCCAACCTAAGAATACTTAAGACGACCCCATTGTCGGTTTCAAAAAATTTAATTATTGCGTTCTATTAAATTCAAAACTGTACTACTTCAAGAATGTATTTTTCAAACTCGTGAAGATAAACCCGAATTATTGTGTCAAATGTTTTTTAAGAATGGTGGTCACTGTTCCAAATTTTGGTATGTACGTATCTCTCGAGTATAGAAATAGAATAAATTCAATCAGTCAAGATCTTTCTTATTTTTATACCCTTCAACACACTGTGGTACAGGGTATTATGTTTTTGTGGATATGTTTGTAACAGGCAAAAGGAAACGAGATATACACATGGTTCCTTTTAAGAATATGCATAGAATCACTTTCTAAGTCGATTTATGCATGTCCGTCCGTCTGTCTATCTGTCCATGTTAAATTGTGAACAAAGTACAGATCGCATTTATTATTCGAATTGGATGAAATTTGGCACAGCTCATTCATTTGGCCCAAAGACGAACCCTATTGAAATTGGGAACAATCGGTTCAGATTTAGAAATAGCTCCCATATATAAATAGCTTTCGATTTGCACGAAATTTGGCATAGCGTACCGCTTTAGGTCTACAATGATGTGTGTTAAGTTTCCTGAAAATCGGTTCAGATTTAGATATAGCTCCCATATATATATTCGTCCGATTTAATGAAAATTGTGTACCAAAGTCCTTATATAAATTTCGATTTTCACGAAATTTGGTATGGTGTACTGAATTGAGTCCAGGATGATGTGTGTTAAGTTTCCTTAAGTTTCGGGAAAATTGGTTCAGTTTTAAATATAGCTCTCATATATATTTTCCTTCGATTTAAACAAATTAAATCTAGAATAACCTTTATTGGATTAATGTGTGCATATGTTGATATATACGCTTTATATTATCGTGTGAGTTCGTGCAAATGTTGCACCAAATAATAACCGTTTCTCCGATCGAGTTATATTGTGAACAGCACACTATGCTGCAGCATACCAAGTGGTTGCTCATATACGTTCAGCTGTACATACAGCTCCCATACACAATTGCGCACGATTTCATACAAATGTTACACCAAAGAACCCAAGTCCGTTCGACTAACATATGTTTCAGAATTGTATGTGTATAGGTTGTTTTAAATTAGTTCAAATATCTATGTAGTCTACACATTTAATTTCGTCATTTCTTCAGGATATTGTACATATGAGTATCTCTTGTATTTACCCAAAGTGGTGAAGGGTATCATATACTCGGCTCCGTCCGACTTTACTACTTTCCTTACTGGTTTTTATTTTGTTTTGTGCCAAAAATATCTAATTTTATAAAAATTTAATTTTAAATATCCACCATTTTGTTAATTTTTGTGCGATGGTTATAGCAAAGCCATACATGTATTCTTTTAAGTGTCATCGGAATTTTTGGAATCGGACAAATCAATGATCGGAAATCATGTCCTCACACGAAAAGAAAGATTTTCTTTAGTTACAAAAAAAATATATATATGTTAATTCATTTTATTATCCTTTAAGTCTTCACGTACTTATATACAATGTTACAAGTCTTCAATGTAATGCACGTCCATTTGTCAGCCTGTTGAAAATTTGATATCGAGAAGGGGGAAGTCCTCTTTATTATATTGTTATTTTCCCAAACACCTACTGGCAGTAAATTTACAATGACGTAGTCAACGTATGAGTTTCTGACATTTATAAGATATAATAATAAATGAACTGTACCTTTTCCAATCTATCTATTTTGTAAATACACCCATACCTGATAACGGCATATACTTCATTCAATTTACAAGACTCTATACTACACAGTATATTTTTTAAACAAACCAAATATAAAATTAGTTTTAATAACATTTAATTATTTATTTATTATCACAATAATTTATTCATTCAAAACCATATCATTTCGTTCTTCTCCTCAGACCCAGTTGCATACCGGTTTTTGAACGTAAAACAATACCCAAGAACACTTTAATATCCTCGCCTAGGGGTAATAACTCATATTCGCGAATAATGTGCGCCAGTGTTACTTTCATTTCATACATGGCAAATTTTTGACCAATACAATTCCGTGGCCCCGCACTAAATGGCAAATAATCAAAACTTTTCCCCAAAGGTTTCATATGGCGTTCAGGCGTAAATTGTGTGGGATTTTCAAATGTAAATGCATCTCGTGACATTTTATATATGCCAATGACGAGTTCTGTGCCAGCGGGTATGACACCCTCGCCCAGTTTGGAGTGCTCTGGAATAGATATATTTTTATAATTTCATATGCCTTTTAAATAAATCGAATTTCAATTACTTACTATATCTGAAGTCTTCTTTAATTTCACGTGCAATAATTGGCACCGGCGGAAACAGACGCAGAGATTCCTTTATGACACATTCCATATATTTCAATTCGTTGAGTGACATTAGAGAAAATGGTTTGAGATTGTCCTTTCCAAAGACATTATGAATTTCGTCCAAAAGTTTTTCCTGTACCTCTGGATGACGAGCCAATAAATACAGTGTACAGCTAAGTGCTGTAGCTGTTGTATCATGACCCTCAAACATAAACGTATCAACTTCTTCACGAATATCCTCATTGCTGAGTGGTTCACCTTCTATTGAAGACTGCAACAGTACATCCAATAGAGCCATACGTTTTTTGGTCCCGATATCATGGTTCTCCTGATCATCTGTGGACTTTTTGCTTGCACTTTTCATTGAAGCCTCCAATGTATCGCGTCGTTCTTTGATTACCTTATCCGTAAACTCATGCATAATCCGTAAGTTTTTCATCATTTGTAATTTTTTAAATGGATGAAATATGCTGAATACTATGTCGTTATGTAGATGAAATCGTAGAAAACGCCATGCCATCATCCGGGTCATTCTGAAATACAACAAGTATGAACGTTGTAAGGCAAATATTCAGGGTCCAGAACTTTTGAAAAATATTTTTTTCGGAAAATATTCGAAAAAGGTCTATTTTTAATATTTCGCTATTTTTAACTTAATAGCCGCATTTTGCTTGTAATTTGACATTCCAGGGTAAAAATATATATTAAGAAATTTTGATATAGGTCTATGTTTTGACACAGTCCCCATGCACAGGTCTCGCCCGATTTTCCTTATTTTTTGGTTTTTAGCCACATTTATCATCCAATTTATGAAACGAAAAGACTGCACATTTTTTTCAAGTTTTAAAGTTTTTATCCAATCCGAAGTGGTTGAAAATTAACTTTTCGGGATAATGTAATAACATATCACCCATATAAAGTTTCCACACAATTTTCGTTATTAGAGGTGTTAAGACGCATTTTCAATCAAAAGAGCTCTAATTTGACATTTCGGGATTTTGGAGGTCCATATTTTTATATAACTCCCATATAAAGATTTCGACCAATTTTTAGTATTTAGACCGACTGAAAACACCTTAATTTGGAGTTTCAAGGTTTTGAGGCTGAAAATTATCCATACAGATACAAAAATTCCGCCCAAATATCAGTATTTTCAGTTTTTAAAATGTTCAATATAGGCCAATTTTTGTAAGTGCATACAGAGGCGCCGCTTAATTATACCCTTCACCACACTGTGGAACAGGGTACTATGTCTTTGTGCATATGTTTGTAACAAGCAAAAGGAAACATGGTTCCTTTTGAGAATATGCATAGAATCACATTTTGAGTCGATTTACGCATGTCCGCCCGTCTGTCCGTCCATGTATTTTTCTGAACAAAGTACAGGTCGCATTTATGATCCGATTTGGATGAAATTTGGCATAGATGACTTGTTTGGCCCAAGGAGGAACCCTATTGAAATTGGGAAAAATCGGTTCAGATTTAGATATAGCTCCCACATATATTTTCGTCCGATTTAATGTAAAAGGTACAATAAAGTCCATATATATCTCTCGATTTGCACGAAATTTGGCACAGCGTAATGAAATAGGTCTAGAATGATGTGTTGTAAGTTTCCTGAAAATCGGTCCAGATTTAGATATAGCTCCCATATATATTTTCGTCCGATTTAATGTAAATGGTTCACCAAAGTCCCCATATATCCTTCGATTTGCACGAAATTTGGCACAGCGTATTGAATTGAGTCTAGAATGATGTGTGCTAAGTTTCGTAAAAATCGGTTCAGATTTAGATATAGCTCCCATATATATTTTCCTCCGATTTTATGTAAGTCCCTATATATCATTCGATTTGCACGAAAATTGGTACAGCGTAATGAATTAGGCCTAGAATGATTTGTGTTAAGTTCCCTGAAAATCGGTTCAGATTTAGATACAACTTCCATATATATTTTCGTCCGATATAAGGTAAATGGTGTACCAAAGTCCCTTAATATCTTTCGGTTTGCACGAAATTTGGCACAGCGTAATGAATTAGGATTCATCTGTTGAATATACCCAAAGTGGTGAAGGGTATCATACAGTCGGCCCGTCCGACTTTAGTGCTTTCCTTACTGGTTTTTCTATATCGAAGTTCCCATCCCACATGTTTACATATTGTTTACTCACTCTTCAACAGCTCTTGTATACTGCTTTGTACCGCCAGTTTGGGCCATCACCTTAGTACCCATAGCCGTTTCGGCAATAATATCCAATGTGGCGGCACACACAAAGGGATAAACATCGAATGCTGTACAACCATCAGCCTTTTCCGACAAACACTTCACCAAAACATCCGACTGCTGATCAAATATCTCCAGAAATTCCTCGAGAATTTTAAAATGAAATGTCGGTGTAATAATCCGACGACGTGTATGCCATTTGCGACCATCACTGGTTAACAGACCATTGCCGAGCCATCCGTGCAACACCCCATACAAACGATGTTTACTGATGTGGGTTAAACTGGTCAACACCTGTTCATTGACTTCGGCATCCGCACTGGCAACGACCAAACGATTCATTGCCCACATTTTGTGCACGAGGCCATATTTCGTGCCAAATTCATAAGATTTGTCAAAGAAATCTAGAAATTTGTAAAAAAGTGTTATTTGTCAATTAATATAAAATGCTTCTTCTTGTTTTTTATTTCATACTTTCTGGATTAATTTGATATGCTAAAAGTACAGAGCCCAAAATCGGAACAGTTGGTGGTCCATTTAGATTTTTAACAGCTTCGCGTTTACGTTTCGTCGATGCATGGCTTAAATAGGCCAACACAAATAATGTTAGGGCCACGACTAAAATAACTGTGCTCATTATTTGGCGTTCACTTGTGTTATACTAATAGTTCACGGTTGTTGTTTTCTATGAATATAGAAAGCCGGCACAACCAACTTAATCTCTGCCCACAAACAAAACAAGCGATAATCTATCTAATCGAAAAGAAGGCGTTTGTCAAAAGCCAATACGGCTCGCTCGATTTAAATGGGGCTCTACAATTTATTATTGATATACTTGAGAGGGGACAACTTTGAAAACTTTTTGCATTTAAGTTTCTTATTTTTTTATAATTATTGGATTTTTAATTAGATTTACTTTAATGTAATTATTTTGCTACTGTTTTTATGGGCGAAGTCCATTACGAGGCAACGGCTTTGTTTCATAAAGTGATTATGTCCAGAAATAACAAATCTATTTATTTACACAAAAAATATTTCTTTTAAAACACATAAACATTAATATTCGAAAATGATGAATTCATATAAAAACTGTCAAATCTGGTATTTTGGTAGCCGATATGCTAGAAAACTATCCTGCAAAGGCTATAGGTCTAATTTTTAGGTTAAGCCCCTTTAACGCCACAACAAAAATTTAGGTATTTTATTTCTACCCAAATTATCTGTAATTTTATATTTTGGATTTTCATTGAGTAAGTAATCTCCCTATTAACAGAATTTGATCCAATTTTATTTTTCAATATCTCATGTGGTGTCAAATTATAGTCAGTAGGAAGTAGGAAAAGTAAATACCGAAAATTGTCTGCAGAGATTTTTTTCTAGGGTTGGGTAGTTCCGGAACGAACTAGTTCATTAGAGCTATTCCGAGAAAGGAACTATCGGAACTAGTTCCAGCTCTTTAATTAATATTGTTAATTTTTCTGATCTCGTTCTTCTTTCTTTTCCTTTTTTCCTTTATTCCCATATTATTCATTCGATGGTATTTCAAATTGTGTTAATAGTTAAATTTTATTTTTTTGTTTTAAATATTTTTTATTTATTTATAAAAAAAGTATTTTGTGCTTATCATCCTGCAGTTGAATTCGGTAGTTTCATTTTATTTTTTTTCATTTTTGCACAATTTTCAATTTTTGCATTTATTAACAAATCAATGAGCAAAAAACAAAAAAAAAAAAAAAACTATGAAAGAGAGAGAGAGAGAGAGATTCAAAGGAACTATGTAGGAGATGGAACTGTATGGAGTAAAGGAACTATATAGAGCAAAGGTACTATATGGAGCAATGGAAGATTCAGTAAATACATTCATAATACCAAAACATTTAAATAGGGGCTACGTCAAAAAATGGACCAATTAAGTTAATCTCCTACAAGATTCAAAAGTGAAAAATTATAGCCGGCTAATGTCTTCGAAACCTTGAAGATGCATATATATATATATATGTCCGTCCATGTATTTTTGTGAACAAAGTACAGGATGAAATTTGGCATAGGTCACATATTTGGCACAAGGACGGACCCTTTTGAAATTGGGAAAAATCGGTTCAGATTTAGATATAGCTCGTATATATATTTCCGTCCGATTTGATGTAAATGGTGAACCAAAGTCCCTATATATCATTCGATTTGAACGGAATTTGGCTCAGCGTAATGAATTAGGTCTAGAATGATGTGTGTTAAGTTTCCTGAAAATCGGTTCAAATTTAGATATAACTCCCATATCTATTTTAGTCCGATTTAATGTAAATGGTGCACCAAAGATCCTATATATCTTTCGATTTGCACGAAATTTGGCGCAGCGTAATGAATTAGGTCAAGAATGATGTGTGCTAAGTATCCTGAAAATTGGTTCAGATTTAGATATAGCTCCCATATATATTTTCGTCCGATTTAATGTTAACGGTACACCAAAGTCCCTATATATCTTTCGATTTGCTCGAGGTTTGCTAATCAGTGAGATCTGAAATTGCTTCCAATTTAGACAACGTTTCCAAAATACGGAAATATGGGTTTCGTTTATGGCAGATAAACCAAAAAGAAGAACGATGTAACACATTTTTAATACCGGACATCATAAGAATTGTAACAATGTATGTGCAAAATGTTAGAACTCAATCTTAAAAAAAATTATGAGGCACACGTCATTAAAATGAATGTTGAATATGTCTAGCTGTTGCAAACAGAATACCAAACATAAAATATATACCATAATAAAAATACTCTCAGATAGCATTTCTTAAATGACCTTTAGTTGTTGTTTAACAAAGCTAATAAAAACTAAGCGTGCTAATTGATATAGATTCCAATGAACTTCTTCTTTTTTCCTTTGCCTCTTGAAATTCGATTCTAATCAGAAAACATATTCAATCAGCTGGTTTATTAAGCAATTGAATGGTGGTGATAATAAAATAACAACAATAATAAAATAGTTAACAACAATAATCAATAATCTTTTTTTATTTATATATTATTATCGCATAGCAAATTACTTTCTTTTTTTTAGGCCCAATTGCATACCAGTGCTGGAACGTAATACAATACCCAAAACGGGATCAATTGGCTGACCAAACGGTAGCAGTTCATATGCCCGTAAAATGGTAACTAAAACTACCTTCATTTCGTATATGGCAAATTTTTGATCAATACAATTACGTGGGCCAGCACTAAAAGGGGTAAATTGGAAGCTATTCATCTTTGCGGGCTGTTCAACATTCACTGTCTTTGGCCATAACGTAGTTACCAATTACCAGTTCGGAGCCAGCTGGTAGTATTTAAAATCTTCTTTAATTTCCCGCGCAATAATGGGTATGGGTGGATATAGACGCATTGATTCCTTGATAACACACTCCATGTATTTTAGTTCATTTAATTTCCCCAATGTTAATGGTTCATCTGCAATTACTTCTTGAATTTCTTTCAAAAGTTTATTCTGTACCCTTCGATGTCTGGCCAATAGATAGAGCGAACAGCTAAGAGCCGTCGCTGTGGATATCTTCATCGGTTAAGGATTCGCCATCTGTAGTGGACTGCAGTAGAACATCTAACAATGCCATTCTTTTCCTAGTACCAATGTCACTGAGATCAATGTCCTCAATAGTTTGGGTGGGCGATTTTTTCACCGAAGCTTCCAAGGTGTTACGCCTTTCCTTAATTACATTGTGTGTGAACTCATACATTATGCGTAAATTTTTCATTGACTGCAATTTCTTAAGCGAATGTAAAATTGAGAAAATAACTTCGTTCTTTAAGTGGACCTGTAAAAATCTCCAGCCCAACATATTTGTCATTCTGAAAAGGAATAGGTAGGGAAGAGTTAGACAATTTTAACGGCTGGTATGCCTCTTTGGCGGTGATAATGGAAATGGTGATATGTAGTCCAGTTCGGTTGGTAAAAGGGAACACCCATTCTCGGTTTAAACAAATATATATTTTTTATTTAATACGAACACATTTCTTCTAAAGAATGTTTCATTAAAATTTCAAATGAAAATCTCAATGACTCTTGAAGATATAGCTGATAGTGTTTCTTAAAGGTCTCCAATTATGCTAATTTTCGAACGAAGTCCATAGTCCTTAATTACAAGGTGCACTGAATATTAAATTGGTAATTCCACTTGCAACACCAGGTTCCCTTTTTCGTGTAGTCAAGCGATTATACTAAAAGTGTCACCTTTGCTCAGAACCGAAACTGCATCCAAAATTCAGTTTGACCCATATATTTTCATTACATTTACGAAATTTCACGGTCGGCATTCTAAATCTTATAATAACCAGTAAGGAAAGTATTAATATGTGACACCTATATCTAAATCTGAACTGATATTCTCGAAACTAAACACACCCCATTCTAGACTCAATTCAGTACACTATGCCAAATTTTCTGGAAATCGAAAGATATATAGGGATTTTGGTGGAACATTTACATTCAATCGGACGAAAATATATATATATATATATATATATGAGCTATATCAGAATCTGAACCGATTTTCAGGTTCATCATCATTCTAGACTTAATTTAGTACATCATGTCAAATTTCGTGAAAATCGAAAGATATATAGGGATTTTGGTACACCATTTACATTAAATCGGAGGAAAATATATATGGGAGCTATATTTAAATCTGAACCGATTTTCTCGGAACTTAACACACATCACTCTTAAAATTAATTTAGTACGCATGGCCAAATTTCGTGAAAATCGAAAGATATATAGGGACTTCGGTACACCATTTACATAAAATCGGACGAAAATGTGTATGGGAGCTATATCTAAATCTGAAGCGATTTTCACGAAACTTAACATATGTAACTCTAGACTCAATTCAACACGTTATACCAAATTGCGTGCAAACCAAAAGATATATAGGGACTTTGGTGCACCATTTACATAAAATAGGACAAAAATATATATGGGAGCTATATTTATATCTGAACCGATTTTCACGAAACTTAGCACACATCATTCTGGGCCTAATTCAGTACCCTCTGCCAAATTTCGTAAAAATCAAAAGATATAGAGGGACTTTGGTGCACCATTTACATAAAATCGGTGCACCATTACATATCTAAATCTGAACCGATTTTCACGAAACTTAGCACACATCATTCTGGACCTAATTTAGTACATTATGCCAAACTTCATGCAAATCGAATGATATATAGGGAATTTGGTGCCTATATCGGACGAAAATATATATATGGGAGCTATATCTAAATATGAACCCATTTTCGCCAATTTCAATAGGGTTCGTCCTTGGGCCAAATAATTGACTTGTGCCAAATTTCATCCAAATCGGATCATAAATGCGACCTGTATTTTGTTTATAATTTAACATTTACAGACGGACGGTCATGCATAAATCGACTCAGAAAGTGATTCTATGCATATTCTCAAAAGGAACCATGTGTCTATTTCGTTTCCTTTTGCCTGTTACAAACATATGCACAAAGACATAATACCCTGTACCACAGTTTGGTGAAGGGTATAATAACCAGTAAAGTCGGATTGGACCAACTATATTATACTCTTCACACTTGTAGTACACACAATCGCACAATTGTGTAGGGTTTTTACGCATCCTTAACCAAAAATCTAACTAATATTTATATGGCAGCTATATAATACTTAACCGATTCACGTAAAGCTCTACTTACACCAATAAGTTTTACAAAATTTTGTGGCAATCGACCATTTTTGGTACCACTTACGTACCACTTACTTAAAGTCGGACGAAAGTATATATGGCAACTATATCTAAATCTGAACCGATTTAAACGAAACTTTGTTTTTGCATTTCGGGCCCATAGAGATTCTAATACATCCTTCCAGAATATGTTCAATATAGGTCACTTACTCTGTAACTGCTTGAGTATAACGCTTAGTACCACCAGTCTGTGCCCCCACCTTAGTGCCCATAGCTGTTTCGACAATAATATCCAAGGTAGCTGAACACACCAGAGGATAAATATCAAACGCCATTTCACCATTCGCCTTTGAGGCCAAACAGTCGACCAATATTTCCGACCGTTGTTGAAGCACCTCCGAAAATTCTTCCAAGATTTTAAAATAAAATGCCGGAGTTATAATTTTTCTCAGCTCCGTTGGCTTGTCAAAAACATCTGTGGGAAATATACATATATAAAAAATAGTTATTTAATTAATTTCTTGAAAAATAGTTTTTAATTTAATAAAGCAAAATTGTGTGACTGGTGATTGTGAACTTGCACTTACTTTTGGGAGTTATACCATAGGCCAATTGCAGGCCACCCAACAGGGGAATATTATATGGGCCTCCCAGATTTCGAACGGCTTTTCGCATATGCCTCTTGGAAGAGTGGCTATAAAGTGCAAATGTAATTAAGGCTAATAATACGATTAACAAAATCGTGTCCATTTTCGAAAGTTCTGATTGCTTTGGAAAATGTTTGGAGTCTGATAAGTCGTATAACAAATGTTTATGTTTAACATACTTTTATTATCTAATCATTGAGCATTGTTTGTGTGTATATAAGGGCGGTGTGAACAATTCCTTTTTAGATAATGTTTATGAAAATCAATATATCAGGTTAAGTCAATAAGTTGTAGAGGTTATATTTAGCTGTTTCGGCATAACCCTCGCTTCAGTTTAATTATTTGTATTAAATACATTTTCTGCAAAGAAGTGGCGGTTATTTGGATTAGAGGATAAAAAACTTCATATTTGAAAAATTTCAATATAGGTCCCTGTTAGTTCTATATTAAAGGCCCAGCTCTATTTTAGGCATTTTGAAGGTTCCAACCATCCATCCAGTTTTATTTTGTCATTTCGGATTTTCAGTGGGTAAAAGTACTTGTATATGTCTTTGCTTTGACCTTGAGCCCCTTAGAAGCTCATAGCCTGAAAACACATCTGAATAGGAGTACATAAAAATTTCGGTTTCAAAGAAGGTAAATTAAAAATGTTTTGTAGAGGCCCATGTTTTGTCACAACGTCTACCTAAATTTCCAGACCCTATTTATTACGAATATAAATTCTTATTATACCCTTCACCACACGAGATAGACACATGGTTCCTTTTGAGAATATGCATAGAATCACTTTCTGAGTCGATTTATGCATGTCCGTCCGTCCGTCTGTCTGTCCATGTTAAATTGTAAACAAAGTACAGATCGCATTTATGATCCGAATTGGATGAAATTTGGCATAGGTCACTTGTTTGTCCCAAGGACGAACCCTAATGAACCCTATATGAAAAATCGGTTCAGATTTAGATATAGCTCCCATATATATTTTCGTCCGATTTAATGTAACCGGTCACTATATATCTTTCGATTTGCACGAAATTTGGCACAGCGTAATGAATTAGGTCTAGAATGATGTGTGTAAAATTGCATAAAAATCGGTTCAGATTTAGATATAGCTCCCATATATATTTTCGTCCGATTTTTTGTAAATGGTGCACCAAAGTCCCTATATATCCTTCGATTTGCATGCAAATTTGGCGTACTGAATTAAGTCTAGAAATATGTGTTTTTAATTTCGTAAAAATCGGATCAGATTTAGATATAGATCCCATATATATTTTTGTCCCTATATGTTTTTATATATAATAAAGAACTCAAAATGTGGCCGAATGCACAAAACATACTAAAGAAAGTGTAACCTAACATTTGACAAGTTTCGATGAAATCGGTTTACATTTAAATATTTGGCTTTAAATTAATTTACATAATGTTGTTCTATTGTAAGAAGCAACTCTATATCTGACCAAAATTTATAGGTTGCAGAAAGACCTGTTTAATTTCATATTAATGGTCCTTCAAAAATGCGACGTCTGTTAGGCTTCCATTTGTTGAATATACCCAAATTGGTGAAGGGTATCATATAGTCGGCCCCGTCCGACTTTACTACTTTCTTTACTGGTTTTTCCAATTGCAAAAGTTGTCTAATATGAGTCTTTGTTTTGACATAAAGACCACTCACATTTAAAGGTTTTTCACCGCAATTTCCGATTTTTAAAAGGCAAATTATATACTGGCCAAAAATTTTTAATATATTAATCTCCACATAAATGCCCCCACCCATTTTAGATATTATTAATTCATATTTCTAATTGATGTTTTAGTCGCTTAATAATAATGTATATAATTGTTTTTCTATATATTATATCTATTTATAGTTATTTACATATACCACCGACCTTCTTAATGTTCTACCCTTAGGATTCAATAGCAAAATAACTATGCCGTTCATAAATTTCATGATATGCCTCAAGTAACGCTTGCCTTACTTTGTAGGTCATTCTAAGTGGTTCTTTGTTTATGTTTTCTGGCCAAAGAAAACGTGAGAATCTCTCCACCGACCACATCATTTTTGGCAAATGAAAATTTCTTAGTGTCAGAATAACAAAGTAGACATTGTGGATGTGCCTATGAAAAATATAAGAAAACGCTTGGCTGTCAGTCAGTTTACTATTTTGATTAAGAATAACAAAAACAAAGACCATGTTGACGGTGACGGTGGTGGATAAGTAATGGTATATATCGGTTAAAATTTACCCTTCACATTTTATAGATTTTGGCCTGCTTTGTCCGAAATTTATATGCTTTATAAAAATAAATACTGAATTACAGAAACCGAAAATTAAATAATTAAGCAAGCATAAAATGGACTTACATTGAAAATTTTATGCAAAGAATTATTCCATTCACTACGAATATGAAATGTAAATCGCATCCACTTCGGTAGAATAGCCCGTTTATAATCTTCAAAATAAATGTAACTGGACCTCTATATAAGGGTTACACATAAACATGGTCCTATATCAACTTTTCTCCTAAAAAATGTTTCCAATATCAAAGAAATTGATATGCCAAATTACCGGAAGTGCGGATAAAACATTCAGAACGCAAAAACTGGTCCGGAATTTTAACATGGGGGATATGCCAAAACATTGACATATACTGATATTTTTTGGAAGTATATATGGTTGTTAGAAAACTGAGCTACGGACTTCAACATAGCGAAAATTTAGCGGACCTTTGTAAGGGGATATATTAAACATTTTCTGGAACAACGATATAGCCAAACCATGGACCAGTATCAACAAGATTTTACAATACTGTTTTCCAACCTTCGAGGTAAGAAAAAAAGAATCAAAAATTGGGCAGGACATTGGAACTAGTCAAAAAATGTATCTATATCAACAATTTTTCTGCAACCTTGGTTAAAAATCTTCAAAAAACAGAAAACGAGGATGGATCCTTAAGGTTATATCAATGGCATTTATTAATGATCAATGTACAGGGATCATCCTGGTTCTAAGATGATGGATCAAGGATAATGCTAATTATGAAGAAAATGTTATTGCAAAATTACAGCCCCTTTGTTAGGAAAACTGGACGATAAAGTTTGGTAGGGCTATATCACTACATATACCATTTGCAATAACAATTATTGTAGGAGTAGTAGGTATGTTTGCGCAAGCTCTACTAGCTATTGTGATCTCTATCGTTAATGGGAGCTGTAATTATACCCTACACAACTTTGTTGTCAGGGTATTATAGCTTTGTGCAGCCCCAAAAGTTTGTAACGCCGCGAAATATTGGTCCTAGACCCACCTTTAAGTATACCGATCGTCATATCTCGACTAGCTGAGTCGATCTAGACATGTGTGTCCGTCCGTCTGTCCATTATAATTTGTAAACACGATACAGACCACAGTTATGGACCAATCTTCACGAACTTTTGGATGTAGGATGGGTTCTGGCCAATGAAGACGCCTATTGTTTTTGGAAAAGATCGGTTAATATTTAGGGGATGAAATGGACCAAAGACTTTATTTTTGTCGGTTTTTTTGGTCGCTCCAGAGGCCGCAATTATGGCCCAAACACCGCGAATTTTTGCATGAAGAAGGGGATCGGGCCAAAGAATAAGCATGCCTGTTTTGGTAAGGATCGGTCAATATTTAGCGGGGCAAATGGACCCTGACTTTTGTGTGTAAAATTACAAAATTTGTATCCTATGGCGTATAGATTTACCCCCTGAAGGGCATATACCCGAGAAGTTGATAGTATACCCAAGAGGAGTGGTTGACCTTTAAATTGATACCAATTTTATCGTCGTATGTACTCGGATGTGGGAGTTACACTTAAATATTTACAGGTGCTTACGTACTCAGATATTATTACCACACTAGAGGGCGGAAATATAGCGCTCATCGCTTTGAAATTGTCCATGAGGATACAGGTATGGTCAAGGGCAATGCCTGTCATTTTCTCTGATGATCAGATAATAATGTTGAATGAAGTGGACCGAAAACTTATTTTTTGTTTTATTTTTCGAGTCGATATACAGGCTACAATTGAAAGCCGAACATCACAAAACGACCCACGTTGAAGGGAATCTGGACATGTAATTAGAGGGACTGTACTGAATATTAGTAATATTTGTTGACCTCTAGTGGGTCAAGAGTGCAAATATCGCGAAATATTTCCCAAGCTCAGAATATAGAACAGCAGAAAGTTTGAACCGCAGAAAGTTGTGTAGGGTATCATATGGTCGGCCCCGTCCGACTATACTGCTCCGCTCGCTGGTTAATAATGAACTTATGTTCAAATTTTTCTGCATAATTTTCGGCCCAAAATATGTCAAATTATCGATTTTAATAAACTTTTTTGCAGAAAAATGTAATCTAATGTAGGTCCATGAATGATATAGCTCTCATTTTAAAAAAGAAAATAAATAGGCATTTTGGGTTTTTAAAGGATACGAAATCTCTAGGTCTTGGCCAATAATTGGTATTTTGAGGCTCCTAGACCAATGTTTCAACCAAATTCGTTATCGATTTCCTAGATGATAAACAACTTCATGACAGAGATTTACTATGCAGGTCAAATTTTTTATATACCCCCGACTTCCGACCGATTTTAAATATTTTGAATGCCCATGCGTTATTTATTTCGAGATGTTGCAAGGGGAACAACAAAAGAAATACACCCTCCATATTGTAGCGGAGAATATAAACATAAGTTTCGAAAAACAAATGTATGCATTTGGAGCATGACAAGATATTGTAAGTTATTCTGCTTAAAGCTTTAAGATTTTTCCACATCAAACGCTCTGCATCAATCTATCTGGTTGGCAAGCAAGAAAAAACGCTTAAAGGTTATCGATTAAGAATATGCACTGTTGTGCGGTAAAGAAATTTTGCAAATCATCCAAATGGTAAAAATCCTCCAAAATGGCATGAAATTCAATTTACAACAAAACAAAAGTGCCGAAACTCTGCTCTGTGTTCTTTTAATGAAAAGTTCAAAAGGCAACGACGGTGATGTTGA